AGAGCTCGAGGGGAGAGGCAGAGTGTGGGCAAGGACAGACCCCAGGAGACTGGATGCAGCTGAGCACATAGTCCAATGGGGTGGCCAGGTCAGCGCTTGGCCTGGGTGTCTCTGCAACTTCCACGGGGGAGGGGACATGGGACTCACAGACATAGAAAGTACCCATCTATGAGAAAAATGAGAAAGAGATAAAGTAATATAAGTATATAATACCATAATTATTTATTAATATTATAATATTAATATAATTATTATTAATTAACAACACATGCATTATAAGATAATATAAGTGTCTATCTACGAAAAAAATAAGTCTTATCAAAGATGGAAGAATCAGTGTTGTTACTGTTATTGTTTAGTTGTGTCTGACTCTCTGCACACATCAGGCTCCCTTGTCCTTCACCACCTCATGGAGTTTGCTCAAACACATGTCCATTGTGTCAGTGATGCCATCCAACCATCTCATCCTCTGTCACCCCTTTCATCTATGCATCCAGTCCTTGATGAAAAATAAGCAGCATTTCCTAAGGTGATGATCTGTATACACAAGCGCTATTATGGAGTGGGGGGGAGTACTTAAAAAAATTAAAAATCGTCTTAAGCTGTGGCAGGAAAGAATAAAGAAAAGATGCCTTATCAATAATGAGGCTGCTTTTACAAGAGGCCGAACAGTTCAGGAGGGCATCAGAAGAGGGAACTCCATTTATTACCTGGAGGAGAGGCTGAGCTGATCCCCAGTGGGGCCCTCTTGAATTCTACATTCCAGGTGTCACGTGTAGGAGACAGCCTCCCAGGAGGCACTGAATCCTCCAGCAAGGTGATGGGAAAAGCCAAAAAGACCTGCTGATCGTCAAGTTCAAGTTGATGATCAAGAAGGGTACAAAACTTGGAGTCAGAGACTGGGGTTTTAGTTCCTGAATCTCTCACTCCCTGTATGACGGGGTGAATCCCTGGAATTCTCTCTGAGCCCAGAGTTTCCATTGTGTATGATGTAAATGGTCATGCTCATCACATAATTCTGTTGTCAGCATCATACTTGCAGAACATGAGTAAAAAAGTGCTCAGGGCCAGACATTACTTAAGTGTTGGTATCATTCATCTCAGAGCATCAGGAACCACAAGATAAAGTAAACCAAGGTGTGTGCCCTGTCACTCAGCCATGTCTGACTCCTGCGACCCCACGGACTGCAGCCTGCCAGGCTCCTCTGTCCATGGGATTCTCTTAAGTACGAGTGATGGTGTGGGTGCCATTTCCTCCTCCAGGAAATCTTCCTGACTCAGGGATTGATCCCATGTCTCCTTGCATTGGCAGGCAGATTCTTTACCACCGAGCCACCTCGGAAGCCCCAGAGGTAAATTCACTAATGCTCAAATGGCTAGTTAATAAAATAGCCAAGACCATATCTTAGCTAATGCTTCTTGCTAGTTGAGAACCAGTGATTCAAGGGTGTTTATAAATATTATAGTGTGGTGATTTTTTGAGAAGCTTCCTTTTGCCATCCAGATTGTGCTAAGTCACTTCAGTCGTGTCCGACTGACTCTTTGCAACCCTATGGGCTGTAGCCATAGGCTGCAGGAGCCAGGCTCCTCTGTCCAGGGGATTTTCCAGGCATGAGTACTGGAGTGGGTTGCCTATGTCCTCCTCCGGGGGATTCTCTGACCCAAGGACGGAACTCACGTCTCATACGGACTGAGCAAACCAACCCCTACGCAGTTACCAAGGCATTTTCCCCTTCCCATTCATCCCGAGGGTACAGAAAAGGAGTTCTTCCCCCAGAGATCCAGCTACCCAGGGGCCGTGGGAACTTTCCACTCGGCTGTGAGGAAGCAGCACTGGGCAGTCTGGGGAAGGCATGCCAGCGTGCTCACAGAAAGCCTATCAGGGACATACAGAACTCTCCTGGGGTGCAGGCAAGCTCCATGGGGCCGAGAGGTGGGGACCACCTTAGGAGGGAAAATGGAACCAGTCATGAGCAAAAGCGCTCTCCTGCAGCTCCTTGCGAGACCGTCTCGGGTCGCCTGCCCAGAAAGCCAGGTAAGCCGTAAAATCCACCCATCGGGTGAGTCTCCGCCACCCTGCTGGGAAGCAACACATCCGGCCCTTGACGGCACTCTCATGACTTCTTGGCTGAGAAGTGGTATTTTCAATCAAGAGAGAAAAAAACACCCTATTATTTTACTCAGGTAATTGACAACAAGCTTCTCATGAGTAATTTTATAGCGCTCAGGGTGTGCCGGGGTTTGACTGCTCTTTACGAGAGCCTCAAACTTGCAGGACAAACACTATTTTGAATGGAATGAAACATACTTCAAACATCCATAAGGATATTGTCAGGGCTTTGGTTGAAATACTCCAATTCTCTGCACCACAAAAGGCCCATTTCAGAGATCTAAGAGATCTAAAATCTCTTAGATTTTACTTTGGGGAAAAGAAAACATCTGAAATTGGGGATCCTGAAAGATTTTAACTAATGTAATAACTCAAGTTGTTATATCTCAAATCTAATATGCATACTTTTTTTTCTTATGATTCTATATCATGGCAACCAGTGAGTGGTTTCCAAAGTGGAATAGACAGGAAATAGTTCCTCAAAATAGTCTTTTAAGAAGGATGGGGAGTGGTTTCTGCAGTCCAAGATAGTCTCCTATATGACTGCTGCCTATTCAATACACTGCCCTACTCAAACGCTGCAATTCACAATATACATTAGTGCAATAAAGGCCCCGAGAAGTCCTGCAGGAAGGGAGCCTTGCCCATCACTGTTTTGAACACAAAATTTCCCAAAGTAACTACAATACAATCTCTCCCTACAGGAAATTACATACACACACAAACACATTCTAGCACTTTAAAAAAACAACAAAAAAAAACCCTTTAATTTCGATTTGGAAAATAGCCAATTAACAATGTTGTGATGGTTTCAGGTGGACAGTGACGAGACTCAACCATGCATAAGCATGTATGTGTTCTCCCCCAAACTCCCCTCCCATCCAGGCTGCCACATCACATTGAGCAGAGTTCCCTGTGCGGTGCAGTAGGACCTTGTTGGTTCTCCATTTTAGATATAGCAGTGTGTACATGTCCACCCCAAACTCCCTAATCATCCCTTCCCCCTAACCTTTCCCCCACCCAGCAGTCATAATCTACCACTGTTTAATTCAACAGATTTGGGGACACCCTGAGGAAAAAGAGAAGGGAAGAGGTACAGTTGGGGCTTAGGAGTAAGCCATATTCTACTTTACTCTGACTTTTGTAATTGAATAACCCAATTATTCACTAAACAAGCTCTGTTGAGTAGTCAGTATGGATAATGGGTATGGGTGAGGCAAAGATAAATAAGATGTGAAGAAACATGTAATACAACACAAAGAGAAAAAGTGATCAGCTTTCTCAAAAGAGAAAGTAATCGGCTAAAAAAATCTAATCTGACCTCCTATATACCTAGACGAGGAAACAGGGATGAAGAGAAATTGAATGACGGGTCTCTAGATACAGAATACCTGTGTACCTTCAGTTAGAAGAGAAACATGTTCTACAGACAAGTGCTGTGAGCTGAAGGCATCTGTAAATACACTCAGTGAGAGGGTCTCAAACCCTGTGATTTTTGGAGGGGAGGCAGAAATTAGGATTGCATATTTCCAGGAAAGACATCAAGGACGAAATCTGAGAAGCCAGATGTCCTTGAGTGAGGAGGATGTTAGACACTCAAAGCCGGTCTCTGCATCAAGAGGAAACAGGCCTTCAGTGACCACAGTCAAGGTCACCTGGTACCTCTCAGAACTCCGCAGGGCCTTGGAACGGCCGAGAGCATGGCAGACACTGTTTCTGCCCTTGTACACGGAGGACCCAGCGGACTCACTGTGTGAATTCACGAGAAGAGCTCTTCTTGCGTGGTTTCTTTTCCTTCCATTGCTTTTAATTGCTTATGACTTAAGTATTGAGTCTCAGTCCAGGGATGTGATTTTTCTTCCCTCCAGCCCTGGGAGAGCTCATTCATTCTTAGAGCTTTAATGATGACCCACGAACAGATGGCTTTCATGTTCAGAAGTCAAGTTCTGAACTTCTATCCAAGCTCATGCCTCCTTGTTCCCCAGATTCCTGCTGGATATTTGCATTAGTCTCTAAACCTTCCTTCATATTAATATATCCAGATTATCCTCCCTCAAACTCTGTTCCCCTCCCAGTCTCCCTACACCCATCAATAAAATCACTCCTCTGATTCCCTGCCTCCTCTCCTTGCTCTTAGGAACTCCATTTGTTGCTGCTGTTGTTAAGTCTTCATTGAATCTGTTACAATATGGTTTCTGTTTTATGTTCTGGGTTTTTTTGGCCGAATAAGTAACTGCCCCTTTAGGACATGGGCTCTGCCGCCCTGTGTACTGGGACCTGGGGTCAGTGTTAGCCTCAGTGCCAAACAAGTAGCTTGGCCTTGTGTGACACCTCCTAGAAAAGCCTTAAAGGGCTGGCGCCCTAACCCGGGCTGTTTGAGCAGGTAGCTGTTTCAACTCCCCCGCCCGCGGGAGTCAAGTCCTCAAAGCCCTCTTGAGTTCCCTCCGATAAGGGCTGTGGTGGCTCCGTGGGAAGAACCCGCCCGCAGATACAGGAGACTTGGGGTCCCATCCCTGGGTCGGGAAGCTCCCCTGGAGGAGGCAATGGTAACCACTCCAGTCTTCGTGCCTGGAGAATCCCATGGGCAGAGAAGCCTGGCGGGCCACAGTCCATGGGTTTGCAAGAGTCGGACACGACTGAACGACCGAACAGCAACAGCGCCTTCCGGTCAGCCCTTTGGAGCCCTTGCTGATCCCCGCAGAGTCCTGTCCGCCTGCACCTGCCTCCCCCGCTCCCCAGCCCCGGCCCCAAGGAAAGCAAAACCCGGCAAGAGGGCGGTGGGATTACGGCAAATGAAGTCAGGCTAATCCCGGGCAAGGGCCTTTTATCCAGGAAAAGTCTCCATCAAGCCATCATCAGAGCCCTCCACAATCTCCTCTTATTAACTCACATGCCGGAACGCTGCAGAGATTAAACTCGGGAGGAACGCGATGCTCATGCAGTGCGACGCCAGGGGAGGGGGCGGCCGGGGGCGGGTGGGGCGCAGGGAGAGCCAACGTTCTGCGATCTTTCCGCCGGGGCCTTTGTTCCGCCGGCACGTTATTTGGTGACCTAGACGGGGCATAATAATGCACTTTATCTGTTCCGTTTATGACGTGTGTGTGTCATAGGTGTACATGCACATTACTGGCTATAAAATATGTATCATATGTGCCAGAGAGAGAAGAGAGGCTGCAAAGGCCTCTGACTCAGTGAGAATTTGTTTTCTCTTAGGTAAGCTGCACCCTAACTACAATGAGCATCCCAAGCAGAGAGTTTCTGAGACGTCATTTCACAAAGTAGAAATAACTATTTAAAATTTGTTTTTCAGTTATTTTACGTCCTCAGCATTTTCTTTTTTATATATATATTTGGCTGCGCCAGGTGCCAGGTCTTAGCTGCATCGCGTAGCATCTTTCTAGTTGCAGTGTTTAAACTCAGTTGAGGCATGTGGAATCTAGTTCCCTGACCAGGGATGGAACCCAGCCCCCTGCACTGGGAGCTTGGAGTCTTGGCCCCCGGACCACCATGGAAGTTCCAGAAATAACTTTTTAAAACTAAAAGAAAAATGACTGTGTTAATTCTCAAGTTCCAGAGTCTGGACAAAGAACAAGCAGCATGACCTTCCTTGACATTGGTTTATTTTCCAGAAGTTGTCGTGGACGAGAGAATAATGGGATGAGAAAACAACTAGATATTGAAGATATTGCAATTTCTTCAATAATATTGAGTATTACTGAAGAAATTACATGACTGTATGTTCACTTCCTGCTTGCAGACCTACAACAGCAAGTCTGAGAATTTTTATATTTTCTGGAAGATGTTCTTGATTAATGAAAGTTTCATGGAGAGGCTTCCATAGTGGAATTTTTTAAAAAATTTGGGGGGCTCAAAGAAATCTGGATTCAAATCTTGCCTTTACCCCTTGGGAGCTGTGTGATCTGGTGTAACCCTCTTTGGCTCTTGGTGAGCTCATTTTTTAAATGGAATAGCAATACCTACCTTGCAAGTTTTGCATAAAGTAAAGGTCTTTTATGACCCAATATGCTACATAGAACTTTATCATTTCATATTTACAAAGATGCACTAGGGGAGTGATTTTGCCTCTAAGATTGTCCTTCCTACTTTCTGCAAAATAGATGGGACAACAGCCACCCCAAGGGAGAAGGAGCTGAAGGAGATTAAGTCTCTCTGATTGCCTTTGGGAGGACATCTTAACCCCCTGCAGTGTCCAAGAAGGAAAGACAGTAAATTCTAATCCATCAAGCTGCCCCAGAGGCTCAAAATACATGGTTTATCTTAGTAATATAATTCTCTTAGGAGACAGGATTGACATCAGAATTGGTTAATTTAGACTTCCCCATAGACAAATGGGGAGATGCTCAAGACATTCTCAGGACTGTTTGTTGACTCCAGGTGAGCTCACTCTTTACAGGATGCAATTAACACCCGTGGATTCAAGTAGGGCCGAGGCTGCGCTCTGTCACTGATCACCCGAGTCCCTTCCCCGTCGTCATACGTTAGATCTCTAGAGCCACATGTTCATTCACTCAATCTCTTGCTTAGCAACTGTGTATTTCAACTGCTTCTTTGCTTTCAGAATACTTCTGGGGGACTTCCCTGGTGGTCCAGTGGCTAAGACTCAAGGCTCCCCATGCAGGGGACCTGGGTTCGATCCCTGGTCAGGGAACTAAATCGCACATGCCACAACTCAGAGTCCACATGCTGCAACTAAAGATCCTGTGTGCTGCATCTAAGACCCAGTGCAGCCAAATAAATAGCTAAATAAATTTATTTTTTAAAAAGAATTCTTCTGGGAGGGGAAAACTGGAGATGCAGTGGTTAGAACTCCGTGCTTCCATTACAGGGGACATGGGTTCCACCCCTGGTCAGGGAACTGAGATCCCACATGGCATGCAGTGTGGCCAAAACAAATAAACTACTTTTAAAAAGACACCTACAATTTTTTACAGAAGAATACTCCTGGGAGTTATGATCCGTGCAAAGGAGAAGTGACAGAAGGATTCCCCTGACCGGAGAACTCATCTTAAAATAATAAGAGACAATTTTGACAAGTCTTAAAAATCGTATCCTGTGCCTTTCTTGCTGCCTTCAGCCTGTTTTGACACCCACCGAAATCATCAAAGACAGGAGAAGACAGGGAAAAGTGAAATGCGTATTTTTATTAAGCGGCATTAGAGGTGCTCAGCAGATTTTTTTTTTATCAGCAGATTTTTTAAAAAGCAAAGATCAAAAACAAAGGCAACATCCTGTTTAGCACACGGTGGTTGCCTTCAAGAAATATTTCATCTGATTGAGAAAAAACTGGGCATGGGTACACGGAGAAGCCGTCACGTCAGGGAACAATTCAAGAACGTCGAAGCATTATTCTTTCAACTTTTCTGAAGGTTCGAAATTTAAAAAAGGAGATAAAGATGTCATATTCATTTTCACATCAGTGTCTCAAACAATATCTGTTTTATTGGAAGAGTTTAAGGCAGAGAACAGTTGTCCTAATCTGAAATGCAGAGGGAGTTGTCTGTGAAAGAAAAAGGACCTGCGTTGAGTCTGTTGAGATAAATCGTAAAGCTCATGATTTTTGATGAGATTTCCTTCTCAAGTGCACAGGCGGTGCCAGGCTCTCTGGTAGTGCTCTGTGAAAACTGTCTGCGTGATCCTCATAATAATGATCCACATTAGCTGTGCCACCCCATTCAACAGAGGGGAAAACTGAGGCTCAGAGACATTGTTTGAGATCTCATGGCAAGTAAGGGTGAGAAAGCTGATGTTGTTCAGTCGCTCAGTCACGTCTGACTCTTTTCGACCCCGTGGACTGCAGCACGCCAGGCTTCCCTGTCCTTCACCATCTCCCAGAGCTTGCTCAAACTCATGCCCATCGAGTCAGTGAGAAAACTGGAATGTGAGCTAATCCGAGGTCAGTGCCCATTTCTCTGAGGAGCAGGATTCAGGTGAGTCAGAGAGTATGCCAGGCAAGACCATTCTGCATCAGCATGATGACAAAAAGATCACAGCTTGTGAGGAAAAGAAAAGGTTGGCTGTAGCAAGGATCATAGCTTTCTCTTTGCCTTTTCATGCTGTTTGTAGGCTTCTCTTGGCAAGATCACTGGAGTGGTTTCATTTTCCTCCTCCAGTGGACTACCTTTTGTCAGAACTCCTCACTATGACCAGTCTGTCTGGGGTAGCCCTGCACGGCATGGCTCTGACAAACCTAGACAGCATATTAAAAAGCAGAGACATCACTTTGCAGACAAAGGTCCATTTAGTCAAAGCTGTGGTTTTCCAGTAGTCATGTACAGATGTGAGGGAACCATAAAGAAGGCTGAGTGTTGGAGAATTGATGGTTTTGAACTGTGGTGCTGGAGAAGACTCTTGAGAGTCCCTTGGACAGCAAGGAAACCAGACCACTCAATTCTAAAGGAAATCAACTCTGAATATTCATTGGAAGGACTGATGCTGAAACTGAAGCTCTAATACTCTGGCCACCTGATGTGAAGAGCCAACTTATTAGAAAAGACCCTGATGCTGGGAAAGATTGAAGGCAGGAGGAGAAGGAGACAGGTGGGTGGATGGGTGGAGGCATCAGTGACTCAGTGGATGTGAGTTTGAGCAAATTCCAGGAGATAGGGAGTTCTTTATAGAATATAAATAGCAAATTCCGGGAAGTTCAGGGAAGCCTGGCATGCTACAGTCCATGGGGTCGCAAAGAGTTGGACACGACTGAATGAACAACAACAGCAAGGATAACTGGCTGTTCCTACTTCTTGCTTTCGTATGAAAACCCTGAATCTTAGCCTGGCACGAACAAGACCCTGTCCCCCTCCTAACAGTTAATACACATTTCCCAGTCTCCTTTGCGCCTGCATATGGTCACATGACTTAACTGTGACCCATGAGATTTAAGTGGAAACTATCCATCCAATTTTCAAATAATGTCCTCAAAGGAAAAACCTGTATCCTTTTGCTCCTTCCTCCTTTCTGGCTGGACTGCGGGCTGGAGAGTTGGATCTGAAATGGCTAATCGTTGTCCGGGGTGACCTTGGCACTGGAGGTCACACGAGGAAGCAGCAGGACAGAAGAAGGCTGGGTCTCTGGGCACCTGGGCAAAGAACACCATTCCTGTCCTGGGCTGCCTAGACTGGGTCTTTGAAATAAGAGAGAAGCAAACCTCTGAGTAGTTTACATCTCTGTTATTTGGGGCTATCCTGTTACTGGCAATGGAACTTGATCCTAATTAGAACGCAGTCTAATTTGACTTGAGCCAAGTGTTTCTGTGGGTGATCAGTGGCAGAGCAGTTTGGAAAGAAATAGAGATCATGGAGAACCTCTCAAGTCAAGTCAAGGCTTGTGTCACTGGTTTTGTAGGCTTTCCAGGCAGACAAATATAATAAAATTGGCATTTCCAGAAGAAGAAATACTTTGGCTGGGTGACGTAGAGTGCCCCAGTCTGGAGATCGGATGAAAGAATTTAAAGCATTTGGGAAATGGTGCCAATGAGCCAGATGTGAGATGTTCGGGGCCTCAGAGAGGGATGGGGCTGTGTGGTCAGGAAGCGGGGCTGTAGGTCTGTGGTACAAAACTGATCCTGAGGGTCAGACTACAGAGTGGTCAAAGGTAACGGATTTCTCCTTGGTGGGGGCAGCGGGGAGGGCCTGTGGTACCTTGGCAAAAACAGGGACTCCATAAAGTGAACGGAGAGTCACAGAGGGACAGAGTGTATCTTAGGCTTATGGAAGTCCTGCCAAGACATCTCGAGAGGTTCAGGCGGGGTGTCCATGCCTGTAGCTCGTTAGAGGAAAAGTCTGAAGATGCAAGTTTAGACAACGGTTGGCATAAAAGATAGAGCTGAAACTGTGACCGCAGGTGAGCTCTTTTAGGAATGTGCTACGGAAATCGGCCCAAAATCCTAAGTATGAGGATGGAAAAGGGCAGCAGAGAGAGAAGGGGTGAGGCAACAGGGAGGAGGTGAACGGGAAACACTGTCTTAGAGTCGAACGCAAACGCTTCCGTCAACAATGGAATGTGCCAGAAAAGAAACAGGCGGCCCAAGGAGA